CAAACATTCAGCAACTTTCCTACAACCTGCTTCATGAAAGAGAAAGGGAAGGCATTAGAGAAAGAGAAAAGGGGCGGGGGATATCAGGGTTTTGTTTTTAGCTTTAAACTATTTTGCTTCAGACAATCAGCCATGGCATGGAGCCTTGAAGATGTTCAAGGTTGCCCATACCCGCTATAGTCATTTGCCTGTAGTGTCTGCCAATCGAACCCTGTGAGAATTGCTTCTGAGTAAGCACAGGAACAGACTAGCTTAGTTAGTACAGTAGTAAAGTCTGAGCATTTTTTAGCAGGAAGCTGTGGAGCAAAGTTTTGTTTTTTGCTATTGGTGGGAGGGAGAAACAATGTTCAGATTATCTGGAAGAAATATTGCCAGGGTTTTGCACATGAGAGAAAGGGAGATTAAGTTTCTCCCATTTCTTTCAGCCAACAACTGCTGGCTAGGAGTTTCAGGAAGGGAAAATCCTCGTGTTTTTTTGTTCTTAGCTAGTATGATCATGATCAGTGGGAAACAGAAAAACCAAATTGTCTTTGTCATAGCTCCATAAATTGTAAGGAAGAGAGAAGGCTTGGGAATTTAGTCCTCAACCTAATAATATGAAATAGGATTCCTTTCAGACACACTTCTCACCCAGGGGTTCATTTGCTAAAATGAATCCTGTCTGAAAGAGCATTTCTAAGAAGAACCAAACTCATCTGCATGCAAGTGATTCTGAATAATATACAGACAGGATGTAAATGTATCCTGAAACAGGATTTATATGCCCGTATGCATACAAGCAGTCATCAAGTTAGGAACAAAATAGGAATCAGAATTTTAGTTACTAATCAATTTAGTCATTCAGTGACCTATCACGTTTGATTTTATCAAGCCCAGCCATTTTTACTGTAGTTGATAAGTGAATAACCATGGTCATTAAGTGAATCTGGCCTCCCCAATTGACTTTGCTTGTTGGAAGGCAGCAAAAAGTTGCAACCATCGTAAGTGTGAGCCAGTTGCAAGCAGCAAAATTGTGATTTCATGACTGCAGAGATGGTGCAATGGTTGTAATTTTGAAGATGGGGAGCAAGTCACTTTTTCTGAGACCATCAGAAAAACTATCATTAAACTATAATTTGAACAAATGGTCATAAGTCGATTGCTACTTAGTTCTCTATGTTTTTATATGTATGGGTTATTTTTATTAACAATATATAATATGCAACTCTATTTTCTTCCTAGGTTAAATACAAAGAAGATTGGCAGAAAAGCAGGGGCCGCAACTTTGAAATGAAGTTAGATTCCAGATCTTTGCTTGCTGCAAAAGCTTCAGGAGATCTTGCCAGTGAAGTAAGTCTTATATGTTTTTAAAGGTTTTATTAATAGCAAAAAGCAGCATACTTTATATAAATAAAAACAAGTTGTTTTAGAAATTCAGGAATATGATTTGGGTTTTTTAAATAATATGCCATAAACTATGATAATGTATATTAGATACTTTGTTCTTTTCCTGAATAATCTTTTCATTCTAGACACTTTGCATTCTACAGTAGATACTTTCTGAAGTGTCTAGAAACTAAAAAAGTTTGAAAACTAATTTTCAGGGCTTAAAAATTAAGCATGCATGCAGATGAAAATAGGCAAAATCTTGATGGACCAAAACATACGTTTAATTCGTTTCAAAGTATTTCTGGCAACATTTAATTAGTTACTTAGATTTAGTTAAAAATAGTGTATTTAAATATAAATATTCACAGTCCCTTTTAATCCCAGGTATACATTTTGGGCTTTGTAACTATTCTCATAAAATTGTTGCCCTGATATGTAGAGCCAGTTAGAAAGTACCTTAGAAAGCAAAATGTAAACTTCTCAGCTGAAAAACCAGAATAGATTTTTTAAATAGTTGCCTTCCCTCTTTCCAGGTAAGGATTCAGGTAAGTATTCAGTCTTACCTTGAAATGCCAGGGAGATATAAAGGGTCACAGTGTATAATTATTACTTATTATTACTTATTTTCTCTATAAAGATTAAATACAAAGAAGACTATGAGAAAATGAAAGGAAAAGCTTTGTCAACAAAAGATTCAAGACTTCTGCACTCTATGCAAGTAGCCAAAATAAATAGTGAGGTAAATGTCCTTTCGTATCCACTTTTATTATTTCTTTAGGATTTACAGAACTCGGTGGTTACAGTAAAAATATATATATCAGTATTTCTTCATATTAGACTTCTTTATTAAGCAATAGTGGTTAGGGGTTAAATGTTTAAATGCTGTAGAGATTGGAGACCAAATAGTAATAATGATCAGATCATGTTTATTATATTAGGAATCAGGCTCACATGATTTATTCCCTATTCCCTTGTAATTTCCTTTCACTGACTAGCAATACATCTTTTCTATCATTTGATATGTTAATCATGTTTAAGCAGGGTTGGCAAAATGGATAATTCAAACTCTTCATGATTATTATAAATGCAGTTGTGCAATAGTTGTGGTTTGGGAAGATATAAGCTGTCCTTAAATTATAGCTAATAATATAATTTATTGCCAGAGTTTCAGATCCTAGTTCAAAGAAACTTGTATTGAAACTTCGGTTCAAAATAAGTTACTAAGGTTATTATTTTGGTATAAGATACATTGAAATAATTAAATTTATGTCTACCTAAATTGCATGAGATTGTGTGTTTATTTAGTTGAAATATGCAGAAGAACTCAAACACATTCAGAGGCCGATATTGCTCTTCTTTAGCATACTGGATTATGTCAAGTGATATAGCTTTGCAATGGAGAAATCCTGAATTACCACTTGCTGTTATACATCTATTCTAAAGAAAGGAAGATCATTTTTCCTTTTCCTAAGCAGAAGAAAATTGAGAAAACCCATTATATTTTGTCTCCTAAATAAAAGAATGCTGATTCTTGAAGGTGTCTTCAAGTACTGATTCTTTGGTCTTTGCTTTACCTCTAGAAGAAATTGTGTCATAGCACAGCCCCAAGAAAAGATATGGCATGTTTGTGAGACCTTGAGCCACATCTGATATGCAGGTTAAAGTTTTTGCAATAAAATCCAATATTTGTCTAACTTCTGCAGCCAAAGAATAAAACTTGAATTATTCCAAATGCAGTAATCAACATAATTATTTGAAAATAATTCAGTTAAGAGTAAAAATTTGTAAGCTATTATAAATGTAAAGAAAATTTCACAATGCTAGCAAAGAAAGCTGGAACAGAAATTTAGTTTTTCAACTCTTAGTCAGATAAGCAAGATTGTGCAAAGATTTGAAGGAACTGAAAGTTGTTTTTAATCTAGTTATTGTTTGTTATGTGGTAAAGGTAACTTGTTCATTCAAGATTGTTGTTTCATCAATCTGTTTTAATTTTTGATAATGCACTATATTGATATTACTGCAGATTGCATATAAAAAAGATTTTGAGAAGAATAAAGCACATTTCCATTTACCACTGGATATGATAAATCTGAAACATGCAAAGAAAGCCCAAGCTCTGGCTAGTGATATTGACTATAGGAAGAAAATACATGAATATACAGCAGTTCCAGAAGACCTAAAGACACAGTGGGCCAAAAAGGCATATGGGCTACAAAGTGAGGTAGGATAAAAGGCATTTTGTTTATTATTTTAAAAAGGCTTATAAGAATAATTATGTGATTTATTGGTTATTGTTTGTTCTATTAAATCCAGTGTTGGATGTCAACTCAAGGCTGGATAGGGCCCACGGGGTGCTTAGATCTGGCCCACAGGGCCACCCTGGAAACAGCAAAGAACTGCACCAGGGTGTCTCTGCCGGTGAAAACGGAGTCCATTTTTGCTGGCAGAGTGTTGCAGAAGGCTGTCCCAACTGAAAACAGAGTTCGGGAGCTGGTTTTCGCTGGCAAGGCACCGCAAATTCCTCCCAACACAAGTGATGTCAAACTGGCTCCACCCACCCTGACCACACCTACTCTGGCTCCCCGAGGTCAAATGCAACCTTGATGTGACCCTCCATGAAATTGAGTTTGACACCCCTGATATTAGATGGAAAAATCTAACATTTGGCCGGCTATCTATTTATATCCTGCCTTCATTTTGTTCATCCCAAGATGGTATACATAATGTTCCTGTCTCCTAATTTCCCCATGTCAGCTATCTTGTCTGAGCTGAGAGAAAGTGACCAGCCCACCCAAATGGCTTGCAGGTCTAAGGGAGGACTAGAAGTCTCCTAATTACTCTTGTTACACATAGCTGGCCAATTTAATATATTTTAGTACCATGTTTCTCCAACAATATGCCCCCCCAATAGGAAGACCCAGCATGTTTTCTAGGCATAAAATGAAATTAAGCCCCTCCTCCCAAATTTAGGCCTATTTTAAAACATGCGAAATTAGGGGGGGGAGGCGGAGGGAACTTGCCATTAGGAATGCCCCGCGGGCAGCTATGCCTCACCATCAATCGCTCCTAACAGCCGATCATGGCGGAGCATGGAGGGCTCCCTTACCCCCACCAAGCACCTTTGCTGCAGACCTGGGTCACCAGGTGGGCGGCGTCGGCGTGGATGTCTGCCGGCAGCATTTCAGTTGCTTCTCGGGCCTCTGTAGCTTCCACAGTTCCCACCAGTGCTGGCGCCTCTCTTGCCAGCACCGTCTCCAACAACAGTGTCTGAGTTGCTCCTGCTTTTCCCCCATCCCCATAACAACAGAGCAAAAAACATTTTGAGGTACCTGGGAGCACCGCATGCTGCGTTTTGGTTTAATCCTGAGCGGCTGGGTGGGTGTGAGAAGAGATGAGCGAACATCTCTGCTGCTGCTATCTTTGGTGCTCCAGCCTCAGGCTCTGCAAGTTTCCAAAGTCCCAGTGCGTAGCCCGCTCCTGCATTCCAAGCACCCAGGCCAAGCTGCAGCTGTCCGTCTCTTGCCAGTGCTGTCTCCAACAACAGCGGCAGCAGCGGTGGGAACCGTGGAAATTACGGAGGTGGCTCCTCCACCCAGCTGAAATGCTTCCACGGTTCATGCCGCTGCTGCCGCTGTTGTTGGAGACAGCGCTGGTGAGAGAGGGACAGTTGCAGCTCGGGCTGGGTGTGCTTGGAATGCAGGAATGAGCTGTGCACCAGGACTTTTGGAAACTTGCAGAGCCCGAGGCTAGAGCACTAAGGCTATGGAGGCCTGAGAGCAGCTGAAATGCTGCCAGCGGACATCCCCGCCCTCCCACTGATCCGGGTCTGCAGCAAAGGTGCTTGGTGGGGGTATGGGAGCCCTCCGCACTCTACCATGATTGGCTGTTAGGAGTGGCTGGTGGTGAGGCATAGCTGCCGGCAGGGCACCCTAGGCGAAGGTGCATGGGGGGGGGGAGAAATTAATTTACCCCCTAAAAGACATCCTAGCCATTTTGGGGAGGTTCAAAAAAAAAAAGACCCAGCCTTATTATATGAGAAACACGGTAATACCAGTTTACTTAAAACTTGTGAATTTTCCTTTCCTTTCAGCTTCAGTATAAAACTGACCTTCAGTGGATGAAGGGAGTTGGCTGGATAGCAGACCAAAGTATCAATATTGAACAAGCAAAAAAAGCAGGAGAACTCATCAGTGAGGTCAGTCTACTGATTTTATTCAAATATTATACTATTGAAGCTTTATAGAAAAGCACTTGTAACTATGCTGATGGCATGACCCACTGTGTTATGGCTTTTCAAACATGTGATTGACTGCCTGTCAAACCACCAGTTGAGCTATATTAAATTAATAGCAACAAATTTTCTTCAAACAGGCTTGCAGAATTTAGTTAAAATATTGAACCTACTGTTCTATTGGCAGTATAAGCTCCATCTTTTTCTTATCCACAAATAAAGTCATGATGGACTGATAGAAGTCGCAGAGGTTGCAACACATTGGCACAAAGTTTCCTGCTTTTATCAGTTGACTTCCCAAACCATCTTTACTCTCCATATACCATATTTTTCGCACTATAAGATGCACCTGGCCATAAGATGCATCTAGGTTTAGAGGGGGAAAACAAAGAGGGGGCAATCAGGTGAAGCCTGACAGGACCACACGTAGGTGTCCTCTCATATGCCAGCTCTGCCTATTGACTCCTTCACTGCATAAAAGAGATAGAAGAGGTGGCCAATGACAAGGACAGAAGAGGTGGGATTTAGCCCTTCCCAAGCCTCCACGTGTGTCCTGCACTTACCTGCATCCAAAATGAGCCACGTAGGGACTCGCAGGTAGTATGCCCCAGCAGCTCCCCCTGGAGTGGACAGTAAAGCACTTATAAGTCTAAGAGCTATTTCTGTTGCCATAAATAATAGGTAATTTGGAAGTCACAATTTTACAATTGCCTCTCCTAGTGAGATTACCTATTATTCTGGTGCCAACAGTTAGGAAAGGATCATTTTTTAAATGCCTGTTTGAGGCTTCTAAGGATTGTAGATGATTGTATATGTGCTCTGACACAAGCCTTGTTCAAATTAAACACAAACTGTATAAAAGCAAACCTTTTTTTAATGCAGCACTGGGAATTCTTTTCATTCCCAGCCAAGAGTCATTTAAACCTAATTGAGATAAAAGCAAGTCCTTTTAAGGTTATAAAAGGCTGCCAAGTCTAATTACTGATAAATATCAAGTGACAGAAGTTTAAAAAACAAATCGGAATTAGCAGGGCTTCAACGAGGACTCAGAGTCTAAATAATTTCTTTGCTTCCTGCAAAGAGTGCCAGTTTTTATATCTTATGGGAGGGCAATCACCTTCCAGCCTTACTCCCGAGTTGCCCTTGCCGCTTCAGCTCTTCTATCCTTTGAGCAGCCCTGCGCACACATGCACCGGGCACAGGCTCCCCGGGGTCCTCTGCTTTACTGCTGCCAGATTCCAAAAGCTCCAAAGGCAGCATCCCACTCTCCGATAGTCCTGGCCCCATCCCTGCATCAGACCCAGGATCCTCGTCCAAGTCTTCACCAGTCTCCCTGACTGGTTCTCTTTTGTCCTCTGCTCTCCGCACCTGCTGCCGGTGAACCTCAATATAGGAGATGAGAGCATTCAAAAGAGCAGGTGTTGCAATGGAAAAGACATTCACATCCTAATTCACATCAAGGCACTATTTAACCAAGGGACCATATCTCGATCCTTCCACTCTGATTCACCCAGAATGAATGCAGCCATTTGCTGCCTTTTCTCTAGACACAGCTGTAGAAAGAGCAGACAGGAAATGTTTATTAAACTGTCTAAAAGACAAATAATCAAAACTGGGCCTTAGATAAGTATCCTTAATCTGTAAATTAATGAAACTCCATTATTTAAAATTACCAAACCTGGAAAAATGCATTAATACTATTCAATTTACATTTCATCAAAAAAGCTAGCTTTAACTTCTGAGTTGATAGCAATATTTTTAAAAAGAAACCTTGCAGTGCTATTGGGACCTAGACAGAAAATGAATGGAAGGCATACTTGGTCAATTTTAAAGTTGAACAACAGTTGGTGACAATGTCTCATCTTAACATGTATTTTAATTAGAAAAAGTATCGACAGAGGGCTGATGCTCTAAAGTTCACAAGTGTTGCAGACAGTTCCCAGATCCAGCATGCGAAGAAAAGCCAGGAACTACAGAGTGATGTGAGTCTGCTTTTCATCTTTTTTCTATATTGATTTGTTATTGTTAAAAACAAAAAAAAATCCATGAGGATAAATTGATTGATATTGGTTGATTGATTGATTATGTGTCACCAAGGCAGTGTTAACTCTTATTGACATCAATAGTTTTTCTCCAATCTGACAATCTAACTCTATAAACTGGTCCTTCAGGTCTTCTGAAAATGTACCCCTTGCCATTGTAAATTGAGTCCATCTACCTTGCTCCCGCTGCTCCTGTTTTCTTTCCTTACATCTTTCCCAACAGGAGAATCTTCCCCAAAAGCTAAGTCTTTACAAATACCAGCACTGTAAAATAAGAAGATTCAACAGTGAACACTTTTTGCATATCTTTCCTCAGCAAGACCTTATTGTTTGTTGCTAAGGTTATGTGTCTGTCCTCCACAATTCCAAGACAGAATTATTGAGAGTTAGGTTGCAAGTTTTGTATATTCTCACTGATTGCATGGTTAGCAAGAGGTTCCAACTGGATTTGGCATTTTTATCCACCTACTGAGACCTTCCCCAGGACCTGGGATGACAGATGATATTTGATGGTATTAAAGCTATTGTCACAAGATGTAACCTGTTCCAAGTAAAGCTGCCTTTTGCAGTTGACTGATGTTGATTTCGCCAATGCTGATAGTGTTCAAGTGGTGCTGTAGTTGCATCCAAGGCGTTTATTATTGTTGGTAATATCTTTGCTCCTATCTTTGTTTTATTTACACTTATATTCTATTTATAGGTTTTTGTATTTTGTGATATTTTTCCACTTCTTTTTCTTTTATTCTGCTATCTCCAGGGACTACAGTGTCTACTATCCAGACTTATTTTCTTTTTCTTAAGAATAGTTGTTAAATCTGGGATGCTGTGTGGCAGGTGCTTGTCTGTTGAATTCTAAAGTGCCAGAGACTTAGTTTCTTCATTTTCTATTATTTCATCTATTTTGTAGTCTTACCGGTTCTTGCTTGCAGGCAAAATAGGTGAAGTAATAGAAAATGAAGAAGCTAAAGTGCTCTGGAATACTATTTTTATTATTCTGAAATCTTTCCATTATTTAGAAAATAGATATCATACTACTTTGTATTAGCATATTAGGGAAAAGCAGCCCATTCTGATGCAATATAATATGCAGAAGCTAGCATCAGCTGCAAACCATTTTTTCACACTGTGAATAAGAAATGGTTTCATTCTCCTACTGTAATGCTACTGCTTACACAAATTGTTATCATAATGATATTATTGACAAACTCAATGCTTTACAAACTAGAATTTGGAGAAACAAAGCATATTCACGAATCATTATGACTTCTTCATGAATTTATAACTTCTTTATAAATGCTAGCCAACAATTCCATCATAGGTTTTTTAACAGGACTGCAATCTGAACTATATACTACTTTATGTCCTATGATTTTTTTTCCTTTCCTTTCCTTTCCTTTCCTTTCCTTTCCTTTCCTTTCCTTTCCT